ACATTATGCAAAAAGTAAGGATGATTAAAGAATTAGAAATTTGAGTACCAAAAGTAATTAAAAATAGAAATGCTGCCAAAAATTGTAAAGAATTTTGAAAACTATGTTCTGTCTGCCAATCTTCCACTAGCAAACCACTTGTCGACAAAGCCAAACACCTATCGAAGCCCCACGTTGGGCGCCAATTTATGTAACGCTTCCTTTCCGCAAAAAGTCCAGAAAAGATGGAATGCAATGAAGATTCCAACTTTTCTGCACAATCACAGAAAGGGGGTTACCATTAGCTTCCGGTAGCTCAGTCGGTGGCATGAAGACATCTACAGGCGTATAGCTGTGTGTCGACCATGGCATGGCTAGAGGATAGAAGAACAAACAGAACACAAAAATTTAACAGATTTTATTTAACAAAAAAAAGCATTTCCATTACATTACAATTTTACAGTTTTAAAGAACAAAATAAGTTTTACATCTTTGGCGCTGCTATAAAACTATCAACTTATCTTTCGCTGGTCCATTTTGACTCGACTGAAGCGAGGATGGCCAGGTGCTTGAAGTGGAGGTCCCAGTTATGAGGGGTGACCTCACATATAGTGGCTTCAAAACCAGTTGTAGGCGAAGTTGAACTTAAAGGCGATGGCGCTGCCAAGGCACGTGCATGGGTGAAGTGATAGGCCAAGCAACGCAAAGTCAAAGACTAAGGCAAAAGCAAAGTCAAAGACAAAGGGAAAGGGAAAGAGAAAGGGGAAGGGAAAGAGAAAGAGAAAGGGGGTGGCCCCAATCATTTTGTCCTATACGGACACACATTCTACAAAATTCTAGCACATGGTGCTATATGACCTTGTGCTACAGAGAAGAAAATTTTTAGCTCTTGTTCGATCGGCGGCTCAAGTGAAAAGGAAGCGCGAGGAAGATCACAGATCAGGAAGCGCTCCAAGCGGAAAATTTTCCAAGTAAAAAAGCTAGAGATGGGATTAATGATTTGCGATTCTGAAATGATAATCGAGAAGTGATTTAATAAATACGATCGGACGGTGAAACCGTTACACTCGCCCCTACTTAACCAGAAAAAAATTCGACGAAACATTCAAGAATTTTTTTTTAACAAGGAAATTGAAAGTTATCACGGAAGGACAAATGTACAACCATTCGACCAGATAACAAGTAGCAAAAGTAAGGTAGAAACAAAAATGTTAGAAGAGAATTGGAAGAAAAAGGAATAGCCTCAAGTCTACCAAACAAGAGGGATGGTTATAGCACCAACTCGCTGAAAAGTACAGTGAAGTTGCACTTAAAAAAACTATCACCATATGATGAAGAATCCAAAACATAAAACATCGTCACACCTAGGACGAGAAAAATAATAAACCAAAAGCTTCAGCAGTGGTTCAAGCACGAAGTGACGAATCACAATGGCATCCAAAATGCACGACTGACTACTAAAAACTTCAAAACTAAGTAAGTACCTAAACCATAAGAGGTACTAAAAAAATAATAATAATCTTTCTCAAAACAATTGCCAGATTATCTCGCAATACTCCAAACCCAAAAAGAATATCATCTACAGAGATATTTTAAACCAATATCCACTATAAAAAACTGTCCATTATTATTTTCAAAATATGAAAATCAAAAGAAATTAACGAATTCCATTAAGAATTCAAGTCATATAACAAAACAATTTACAAGTACTAAAGCAATGAAAACTTGATCAAGAAGGTATTTTAATCAAAAAAGATGTTAACTAAGTGCAGTTCTGATTCCACAAAAAAAATGTCGGGCGCCAGCAGTCTGTAAGACTACAAAATAATTCAAAATGTTTTCAGAGAATTAAAGTATATAAGAGACATTTATGAAATATTGAAGTAAGAGTCAAAATATAGCTTAAGTTCAATCAATGAACTAAAATTCAAGAGTAAGTTCATTCAAAATTTTCGGGTCATGTGACAACATAAGAACCAGACCAAAAAAAAATTCTGAAATGCAATATAGAAAAGAGCAAAATACAGAGAAGAAAATTTTTAGCTCTTGTTCGATCGGCGGCTCAAGTGAAAAGGAAGCGCGAGGAAGATCACAGATCAGGAACTCCGCATCAAGCGCTCCAAGTGGAAAATTTTCCAAGTAAAAAAGCTAGAGATGGGATTAATGATTTGCGATTCTGAAATGATAATCGAGAAGTGATTTAATAAATACGATCGGACGGTGAAACCGTTACAAGATCAGCTACTCAGCAACGTAGTTGATTTATTACAAAATCCTGGTTCCACATGGACTGCTCAATAATAATAAGGACAGATCTTACCAGAGTATCCTGTTTCCTTCGTAGTTGCGGCTCTGCCAGACGTAGTGCTGCACGCCGCCTCGAAAAAGCTCTCCACTCGCCTCCACTGAATAACGTAGAACACCGGCCACGAGTTGGGTGCCAAAATGAAATAGTTCCCGAGCTAGCTCTCTCAGGTTAATGGGACGAAGACGGTGTTACGACGATATCACTTTATTTACTAAGATAGAGGATGCTTTACAACTCACACTATACAATCCGAAATAAAAATAGAATAGCAGTAACAATGTTCGTACGTCCGTCGGGCTGGGCGACGATATCTGTCCTCCTTCTTCGGATGCTGATGCCCGTCTCCCTTGCAACCCGTCCTCAGGGTCTTACTACCTGCCTTCCGTCGCACTTTGCACCCGACACTCACTCACACACGGTCGCGCTGTTACCGAACCTCTTCAACTCTTGCAGAATTTTTTCCGCCATCTGGGTTGGTTACTTAATTTTGGTCAACCAACCCGGAGAGATCCTGAACGCTTATACCAGTAGTCATCGGTCGCCATTACCTCGTCAGTTATATAATAGTTGTGTATGAGAGGCTATATCGTGCGCATCAATACACTTTACACCCCAGGGCTCCCCCTTAGTCTCCCGCTCTTTAATATACATCTAAGTAAAACCTTCAGTATAATCCTCAATCAAATTAAGCTGATTGGGTGTGTAGACGACCTAATTAAATTTACTGAAGGCAACCACTATTAGTGAATGGATTAGCGAAAATCAATTCAAAATAGCCAGCGATAAATGTGCTTGTATGTGGTTGACGAAAGGCGGAAGAAGTAGACCTATACCTACAATTAAAATATAAGGGAACGCACAATTGTACAAACCAAACCAAATACTTAGGCGTACACCTCTAGAAAAACGTAAAGTGGGATGCCCAAACAGCTTATTTGGTCACAGAAGCAAAACAAGGCATCAGGCTAATGAAGGTTTTTAGCAGAGTCAACTATCCTTATTGGCTGAGACAAGGGAAATGGTTATCAAGCATAGAAGACTCTGGCTGGCTGCAAGTTTCATACTCAAGAATACACTGAAGTTTAACAACTTGCGCTTCCACAACTGTTATAGCTAGAGCACTGACTTCTTTGTTAAGAAAATTATGATACCATGTTTTGTAACTATCTAATTACTTTTTCAGTTTATTTTTAACCGTTTATACAAAGTGGTCAAGAACGCAAAATGAACGTTTACACAAAAATTTTAAATTCAACTCCCTGGGAATTTTCACATTCCTTGATATCCCTCTCCACTATTTTTTATGAATAAGGCTTTAGGGTTTATATTACCGGTTTGTGGGATACAGCTAACCTGTTTGTAAATCAGGTATCAAGGCAAATAAACACTCTTCACGATTCAAACTAAAAAATGGCATTTAGTTAGCAGTAACGTGTAAAAAAGCTGATTACAAAAGTTGTAGCCAATAGTACGGTATTTACTTGGAGAATATTATTTCTACAGGGTGACTGTTAACTATACGGTGACCTAAACATACATTTTCTTAAATAGAAAGCACCACAATGTATAGCATACTATAGGGTTGGATTTTTTTCATACCTACAATACCCAATAGCCTAACAGTGGTCGTGAATCGTGCGAAAGGGCAATGAGGGAAGTGAGCTTTTAAACTGAAATTATACCGACATAACTTACAATTTTGTAATCTGCCGAGTTTAAAATCAGATTTTTGTTTTTCGAAAAAAAAATCGTATCTATCTCGATTTGCAACGAAAGACTGCATCGAAGAAGACAAAGTACGCCGAAAAATGACTTGTCATCGGAACCTTTGCGGCTCTAAAAGTTTGTTTGAAATCTGACGGAAATTCTAATTGTTGGTCTCGTTTGCTACATTCAAAGTGTTTATTTTTCAATTGCTATATAATTTTTATCTTACATATTGAATAGCAATAGGCCTGGAGAAAGCCGGAACAATATTAATTTTTCCGTGGAAAAGAATTGCGGTTACTCAAAAATATTTCCGAAATTTTTCCGATAAAAAATTGAACAATGTTGGATTTAGTTAGTCTCTCGCGTCCCATTTTCCGGTGTATACTCAATATTTGGATAAGTCGTAACGTTTCGTCAATAATGAGGCCGAAATAGGCGCAAGAGTGACGATGAAGAGGTAAAGTTTAACGATATTTTTTCTCAAAAACTAAAAAAATATACGAATACTTTTAAGCAAGTGCGAAAGAGCATTTCAAAACCATAAAAGCGCGCTATAACACTTTGCAAAACTTTAATCGACAGAATGAAAAAATCGAAAGCAAAGAGGGTCATCTTTCGAAAAGTAGCATTTTAAGAAATTTAAAAAAATAGAAACTTTTGAACGGAAAAGAATAAATAAATAAAAAACACTCGTTCCAAATGTCTGATGTCTGGGCTTTCTCGTGCGCTAGGTCCGAAAAACCGCACCGATGTCGAAACGCCCCGATCCGGACTCGAGATGGGAGGTAAAAAAAACATCACCACTTGATATTATTTATATGCATCTACCAGTAATCACGTAAACTTTCATCAAGCATTTGTTTTCAACGCATACTTAGGGTAGGGTGCCCTAACTTTGCGCAGGAGGTAAGATTGCGCAGCTCCCATATTTCGAAAGCAAAATGACATTGTCGACTAACTTCTCTCGTGTTCTGGGCCGTTGCTGTGAGTGAGTGCGCTGTAGAAAAAACAAACCAAAAACCTATCAAAACCTAGTCGCAAGGTAAGTTTGAAGTTAAATATCGATTCTGATGTTATTGTTTCTCAATTTCAAACTGTAATTACATGAAAACCTGAAGTACTATCAAATATTTGACCAGTGTTTTCGTTTGCGTGATTTAACCTATACAGCCGGCGAGCGATATAATTTTTGGTATTTTCAATAGATGGCGTTAGGAGTCACATAATTGTATATTGGGCTATTCCCTAAGACTGCGCAGAGTCACGGTCCGTAACACTACGCGCGCAGACTTACCCTACCATAACTTTTAATTTGATATAACAACCTTAAATATTCATTTTCAGAATGCCTAATCAAAGAAAAATGTCGTCGGAACGTTCGCTGTGCCCTCAATATGTTTTAGAGGAAGCTAGAAGACGAATAGAAAATGGTGAAAGCAAAAGAAAAGTAGCATCGTCGTACGGGATGAAAGAAAGTACTTTGCGGTATCGCCTGAAGAGAAAAGAAGCTGCAAAAAAGCTTGGTAGATATGATGCAACTCTTTCTCCCGAAATTGAACAGGAATTTTGTAATTATTTGGAAGATCTTGACAATATGTTTCAAGGGATGACTCCTAAGAATTTGAGGATTGCTGCTTACGAGTTTGTGGTGAAAAATAATATTCCTCATCGTTTCAATGCCGAAAAGAAAATGGCAGGCAAACACTGGCTTCGTGGATTTCTCAGTCGGCACCCAGATCTTTCACTAAGACGTCCAACTTCCACAAGTATTGCTAGGGCGATGGGATTTAATAAGCCACAATGTGAAAGGTTCTACAAAAATCTAGCAGAATTGATGGACAAGTATAAGTTTCCTCCAACTTCCATTTATAATATGGATGAAACTGGTCTGTCTACCGTACCCAACAATCCTCCAAGAGTCATATCAAAAAAAGGAAAGCGCGCTGTTAATAAGATTTCTAGCGCTGAAAGAGGAACGAACGTAACCGTAGTGAATGCTATGAGTGCATCTGGACACTTCATTCCTCCCGCTTTCATATTCGGTCGCAAAAGGATGAAAGCAGAATTGCTGGATGGCGCACCACCAGCGTCTATTGGAATGGTCTCAGACACAAGTTATATTAATAGTGAACTTTTTTTAAACTGGCTAGGTCACTTTAAAGATCACACAAGACCAACTAAAGAACACCCTATCCTTCTGGTTCTTGACAATCATGTGTCGCATTTTACAATAGGGGCTGTAGACTTTTATCGAGCGAATAACATAATAGCTCTAACCATACCTCCACACAGCAGCCACAAGATGCAACCACTAGACAAAGGTTTTCATAGTGCGTTGAAGACTTATTTTGCGAGCGAATGTGAAAAATGGATGAGAAACCACCCTGGCAGAGCTATAACTGCTTTTCAGATGACGTCTTTATTCGCTCCAGCGTTTAATAAAGCAGCTACAGTTGGTTGTGCTGCTGAATGTTTCAAGGTGTCCGGAATCTACCCATACAATCCAGATATCTTCACAGATGCAGATTTTCTTCCTAGTGCTGTGACCGAAAGAGAAATGGATGATAACCAATGTTCAGAATCACAACAGGAGAATCCTCAAGAAGCAACACCCCATCAACAGAGAGAACCAGTTATGGATAATGAGCCTCGTGCTTCTGTTTTCAACAAGGAGCCAAAAAAACCATCAACTCCGAGGAACGCTTTTGACAATGTTTCTCTAGTAACAGAAGCTCCAGCCGAACCAGTTGTGAAAAAAATGGTGGTATCTTCCAAGTTCCTGCACAGGTACCATCTTGCAGCAATGAATCGGCCGCAATCAAAGTCAAACTCCAAGATATTTGCCCTATACCAAAATCAGGTATAAGAAAGACCGCAAACAAGCGAAAACATAAGAAATCTGAAATACTTAGTGGTTCTTCATATAAAGAACAGCTATTAGTAGAGAATCAGTTGAAGAAAACTCCTGAGAAAAAAATGAAAAAAGTTTGCAGAAAACCTTCTAAATATCCTAAAAAAAGAAATGGGCATGCGGTGGCTGCAATGAGGAGTATAAAGAGCCGATTACAGAGGATTGGATCGGTTGTTCTGTTTGTTCTGAATGGTGGCATGAGAAATGTACGGCCTACGTAGGCATTGGACAGTTTAAGTGCGATTTATGCGCTTAAGATACCTTATTCTGTTTTAGTTCCTACTTTTAAGTTTTTGTTATCTATGCGCAATCTTAACGATCTGAATGCGCAATATCCAGGGACCCGTAGTGGTAAGACTGCGCATTTACATCTTTGTCTTTTTTTTTTAATTACTAACAAAATTGTTATCAGATGTTTGAATAAAACTTAAATTAACAAAGTAAATTAATGTGAGCCTAAATAGAAATTAAGATTATTACAATAGGTTATTGATTCACGATTCTACGGCTTATCAAACCTTAAGTGCGCAGACTTGGGACACCCTACCCTAAATAACATGAAAAAAAAAACACGTTCTTCTTTAAACTAAGAAAACAAATGTAATATATATGATATATCGTTGAATTCGTAGAAAACGATGCTATCAGACACAGGGTATAATTTTGTTTCGGAACATATAAAAAATATAGTTGATGATCTTTCAAACGAAACATCGGTCACAAAATTTAAAACACTATCATCATGTAGTGCCTAAAAAGTGCCAATGAAAAAAATTCATTAGTTTTTTGATATTTCTAAAAAGTCTGAAAAAATAGAAACAATTTAGGTACATTCAACTACAAATACGATATTTGCCTTACTACTTAACCCTCAAAAAGTATCCTCTGCTTCATAACAGGATCAAAATAAATGATTTTCCATTGATACCAACGACCTTGAACCCATAGCATGTATGCTATTTAGCTTCTTAGATTAAACTTCTCTGTGATGTGTCCAGTATAACAATTCGTCTAATTGTATACCAAGAAATTTCGTTTGGTCGTGTGTTTCGATTCTGGTTTTAGCTAGTTTTATGTTTATATTTGCATTTAAAATTTATTTGTTTCATGTGAACCACCCAACAGCCTTTTCAAAGAATTGTGTACCTGATCTACCTATAATGTCAAACGTTTTTTCTCTTGTAAGTAGGTTAGTATCGTCAACATAACAATCGATGAATGTATTCTCTGATTCTACTATGCAAATAAGGTCATTGAGGAAAATTATAAATAATAATGGCACTGCAATATTGCCTTGAGCAATGCCTGACATACGAGTAAATGTTTACTCTCTGTTGCCTATTTATCAGGTACACGGAGACATAATGCTGTTCACTTTCCCTTTAATCTCTTCTGAGGATTCCCCTTACACTATCCCAGGTGTATCATCTGCAAAGATAATAATACAATGATAAGAATAGCATTTATTGCTCAAAAGAATTATCATAATTCCATTTACAGGACAAAGAATTGAAATCTGGCATAACAATAAAAAACAATACTAATGTGTTTAAATTTAAGAGAATAAAGAAACAATAATGTAACATGTTTAACGCTATTTAAGATGCTGCCATAAAACCCTCTTGAGTTGAGCACGAGAACACAGCATCATTTCATATATACTGCATATTCCGTTGAAGTTCATGCTCATGACTCTTACATAAGATTTTATAAGAGTTTTATAAAGTTGGTATTTGCACGGTTGCAAAAAAGAAGGTATTGTTTCTAGAGCATGTCCTTGGAACTAAAATTTGGAGCTGGGATAACAGTTCTGAAGAATCAGTAATACCATACGAAAGTTTATATTAGACGTCGGAGTTCTGTTTTTTTCTCTCACTCAAGGAGGCAACTTGGAATCTCTTCAACAATACTTGGTAGTCCGACCCACGCTGATGATAAACTGAATCTTGCAAAGCAGATACTTTAGAAATTTCTTTTGAACATGATGGATTCGATCTATACAACAGTTATAATAAGGACTCCAAACCAACGAAGCAAACTATATAGTAGACTACTAAATTAGTATTCTCTGTAAATACCTCAAAATATCGGAGAAAAGTCAAAAATATTTAAAACCAGAGGTGTTCAAGTTAAGAGCAGGAAGAGGTACGTCCGTGGACCTGTTGGCGATAGTTTCCAGAGCCGTGGGAGTAATCTTCAGCCATTTTACCATATATTCCATTTTGTCATTTGGACATTTCGTCAATAGTGTCAAATCAAATTAAGAAACTAGTCTACAGAGTGTATAGGGTAATCCGGAAATACCCGCTGGAATAAGGGAACATGAGTCACACTGTACGAAAGAAGAATAAAAACATGAAAGATCCTGAAGATGGGGATAATGTAGAAAAATACAGTGATAACAACGAAGAATTGTCGGACGGAAAAGAACGATGATCTTGCCCAGCCTGTTGTAAACAGGGTCGAGTTACCCGAAGCGGATCCACCTCTTCCACATGCGGTGCTCGTTCAGAAACCACTGCTCCTTTACAACCAGATCAGTCTACCCCTACCGACACTCTCACCCTTGTACTCTTACTTAACCAATTATCAACTATGGCCAGTGACATAAAGGATGTTAAGAACTCTCAATCTCAACTCAGAACTGATGTTGCTTATTGTAGAAACTTGCTACAGCAACATTCGGACTCGATCTCTCGGCATGATGACTTAATAGCGGCCTGCGAAACCAACATACAAAATATCCAGGTTACTCAAACAGAGCTGTCTTCTAACATTGCTAATATTGAATCGAGACTTGCAAGATCTATGGAGACGATGCACTCAGGCAACGGCGCTTCTTCTACCCCTATTGCCCCAAGCTCCCAAGCTGAGACAATGGAGTTATTTAGACGTTCCCACAATATCATTCTGAAGGGCATAGCTGAAGGGAACGATGAAATAAACATAGTATCAGAGATAATTAGGCATATTGAACCATCTGCCGAAAATCACCGACTCAGCATCACTCGCCTTGGCAGAACAACTTCAAGCAATCGTTTAATTAGAGTTGTGTTTTCCTCACCTATTATCGTCAGCAATATTTTGCGGAAGAAAAACTCCATCGTTAGCCGCCCCACGCTTTGTCACGTAAAAATCTCTGACGACAAAACCAGAGGTCAAATGCAAGAACTACAACACCTTCGCGAAGAGCTTAGACGTCGTCAAACAACAGGCGAAAGTAATATTACTATAAAATACGTTCGTGGTAAACCTTCCAGCTACCCAGGAGATCACACCTTCAAAAAACTGATAAATTCTGTGGCAAACTGGACGGTTTGTTACACTAATATACAATCTCTCTTTTCTAAGCTACTTGAACTCCAAGCATTTGTTCGAGACAATAATCCAACGTTCGTTTGCCTTACTGAAACATGGCTCCATTCCAACGTGACCGACTCTT